TAGTGGAGATTTTTGCATGGCGGAAACCAATTGAAAGGAACACTACGACCACTGTCAGCAGGACACTACATACCTAGTCTAAAAGTATGAGCTCAACATTCTAAAGTTAGGTCAACATTTTGTTCAGTCGATTAGCGATTACTGTAGAATAACGTATCATTGATTCAGAAAAGCAGTCTGTACCAAATACTGTGCTTTCTGTTTTCATAATTTTGCGAGTGAAAACTACGTCAAATAGAGAGCAATATTCGTATTCGTACTTTGGGACTAGAACGCTAACCAATTAGGTGGTGGGTGAAGGAGCCGAGTGGGTTTTGACTCATCGACTGAGCAAGCTGACAATGCAACAAGAGCAATCTACGTAAACTTTTGCGGCCAAAACGGAAGGATGCACTACCTATCTCATCTATAAGGTTTAAAACAGTCAAAACTCGGTTCATGGTACTTTTTCTGTCCATCGGTGAAAACTTGTTTGTCGTGCACAAGAGTCCGCTTTTGCCAGTTGTACATAAGGTGGTGAGCTAGGCGATTTCTGATTTCGCCGGGACGAAAATTGATCCCTTGGTGACAATACGTAGGAAAATTAGTTGCTTGCGAAGGGCCGCCCTGGTCTGAGAAATCCGAAATATACACCAAATATATAACTGAGGGTGACGCCTTCTGAATATACAGTATTCCTGATTCCAATGCTTGTATACATCTAAAATTCCAATAGCTGGTAGATTTCCCGGTGGGTACAGTTGCACGTGAGAAACTGCTAGCCTGCAACACAGTCGTCTGGTAATTGCATCAAATGGTATGATATGTAAGGTAACATATTCCTTGTAGAAAACAATGAAAATACTATGACACCAAACAACCGGTTTCACTGGTCGCGATTAAAAAGAATCTGGGAAAAAGCGGCAATAAACTTAATTTGCATTTCTTTTAGCCACGACAGCCAAATTCAAGTAGGCCTGCAAAACTGCAACGACGTGAATTTGCGTGGGAAAAGAGAACGAACAATATGAAGTCATTCACTGGAGGTCATACTGGCATATAAAGGGGCGGCGTTGAGTTATTGTGACGGCAAGCAAGTCGTCAAATGGTTTTCAAACAAAGTTGGATGGAGGCTACTCGGGCAAATTCGAACACCGTGGTATGATCAGTTATTTGTCCATGAGCGATCGTCAGGTTTAAAAACGATTGTCGGCAGACTAATATTTAACCAACGAACACAAGTGATGGATATGACAGAAATGTACATAAGAAGCACGGTCATTAACTTGCAGACTGTGCGTGCATGAAAATTTCCCCATCCTGATTATCAAATGTTTATATTAGCTTAAATTTCAGACAATTAGAAACCGCAGATAGGAAAACCGGGAATTTTTAGAAAACCAATATCACCAGGGATAATGCTCTAATAAAATACGCATAACAAACCTGGGACTTCTCACTTTTCGAAGTCTTAGAATCAGTGATTTTTGTCGTTTTCACTTTCCGCTTCTCTTGTTCCTTACGTTTGTTGACAACTTTTTTCTTCGCCTTAATAGCCCTAAAAGTGAATATCAGAGGCCTTACGGAAAACGTACCTGCTTATCATGTTCTTCTCGAGCATTTTTGTCATAAATCGGACTGCAGACTCCTCAGAAGAAAATTGTGCACTCTCGTTGGGCTTATTTTTCAATTTGAACTTTGACCACTGTGATTTTGTGAGGAGTTCAACAGCATCTGCCGGATAGAATATGCTAACGCGACATCCAGAAAGTTTGCCATCCAGTGATGGTAAATTGTTATGTAAATAATTCGCAACTTCGATCTCAAACGCCGACGGTTTTAAGGGGTCCTCGTAAACATCACCTTTAAGCTTTTTCTTCTTTTTATCCATACCACCGGCGGACCACAGGCTGTGACTAACGAGGCTAAACAACAGACGATGCTAGATTTGACAACGTATAGACGTAAAACGTGTACTAAATTCAGGTTTCATGAGCTTGTCAGGTTTATAAAGGCTCAAATATCCACTAACGGGTAAAGGGGTCGGTCAGGCCTGTTTGTAACACAAATTCTGCAATAAAACTCATTAACTTTGACTGTTCGTACAACTTATGAAGGACAGTAAGTTGGACTGCATACTCTTACTTTTGGATACAAAAAGACGAAAATGCGAATCTATGATGAACATCAGTATCAGTTTATTTAAGGGATATACTGGGTGTCCCAAAAATATGTATGAACATTTAAAATAATTGCAAATTGGTGTTTATGATAATTTTATCATTTCAAAAAAGTAAACACATTTACAAGTATCACTTTATTGTTTTTTCACTGAATGTACTCAAACTGACGTCCATGTTTATAATGACACAGCTGACAACGCGAAGCAATGCCATCGCACACAACATGAATCAATTCCCTTGGTATTCGGGTGCATTCATGTTCAATGGCTTCTCTCAATTCAGCCACTGTTG